AAAATTGTCGATCTTTTCTCTTTGTATAACTCTGTCCGTTTGATAGTCCGAACCTATAGTTTGATTGAAATAGAAAATGTTTACTGTTAACTTCTCTATCTTTTTAAGGTAATTTGAGTCAATTCCAAAGCAAAATCAGTGTCAAAACTTGTTTTTCATAAAATTCAATAAAGAAACTTCAACAAAGAAATCGGATTATTCTGAAAATTTGCTTAACTTTTTGTGCGCTATCCTTTTTTCCTTGACATAAATATATATGGGTTTCTGTGGGCCAAAGTGTCTAAATCGAGTCTTCGGGTTGTCGTCTTTTCTTGACTACCGACTTCTCGCGCCCAATTCTTTGTGTACTCGCGTGTGTGCCAATACTTTCGCGCCCAGCTGTCCGTTCGTTTCCACGAAGCTCTGTTTTGTCGCCCGAAATTTCCGATTCCCACGCCCTAAAATTACCTAGAAAACAACTTTTGGAATAGAAATTGGTTAATATTAGCTTTTTTAGAGCTTTTTTAAACGCGAAAGGTGCGCTAATGGAGGCAAGAGTGCGGAAAAGGTGCGCAAATGTCTGGGTGCGCAAATGTCCGGGTGCGCAAAAAGAAAAGGTGCGCAAATGTCCCACTCCCTAAATTCAAACAATTTCTCAGCATCGAATCTCCATTTTAAGCTAAGATTGGTTTAAGTATAAATTCAAGTATAAATCAAAAAAGAATCCGAAATCTCCTACCGCTCTCGACGGGAACCTTCAATGACAATGATGATAAAGCGAAGATCTTGCATTGTTCTTCCAAGATTCGTTGGATGCGACAATCGAGCGATGGCCATGCCGATGTTGAACTGTATTCAACATGCATCTAAAATGATTTTTCTTTTACTTTTAGAACATTTTAAAAGTAAAAAGATCTATTTAATTGTTGTTTCTATGTTGTTTGATCGATACAAAAGATTCTATTTACTTCCACGGATAATCCGGATCCAGGATCTCTACGCAAGCATACAAAGGACAAATAGATGACTACGCGACAGTACGATGAACTATCTATTGGAGTGTGTCGCATGATCGTCTCTTTGATTCACTGCACCATGTTTGTGGCAGAATCAGAGATTATCAGATGTCTGGGTATCCCCGTTTTCTTTCGATGGTTTTCTGTGCTATTTTTCCTCTTCAACCGCACTGATTTTTGCATAAAAAACGATCAAAAATTTTTCGAAAACGATAAATTTAGTTAAAGAAACTCGAGAAAAAGTGTTTTTTGAAGTTAAAAAGTACTTACAAGGCACAAATCCATGTTTGATCATAATCAAAAGATCCGCCCACCGTTGTGCCAGTTGTACAAATGCTTTGCACAGTTCTCGACAAAATGTGAACTAAAGGGAATTTCTTTTTCCTGATACTTAAAACTGTCTTTTTTCTCTATACCGTATTTTCTCTAATAGTAGTGCACCCTGCCGGCCGAGTTGATCACTATTATTACACGGTTTTCGAAGCTTTTGAGAAGCTCAACACTCTAAATCCCCCACTGGGTCTCATCGTCAGCTACATTTTCCGATCCCATCGATAGGTTCTGATAAGTAGCTTTCCGAGATTTCGAGCAATTTAGGCAACGCTCAGGTGCACTACTATTAAGAAAATTCGGTAGATCACGGTAGAAGGTGAACGAAGTTTTAGGAAACTCAATTACTGAAGGAGTACTGTAATTGTACTGTAGTCTAGCTATTGAGTTAAAATTAAGTAAGCTAGCGATTATCTTATTTCTCTCTGATCTCACACCCCGGCAGGCCGGAGTTGAGTGACTATTTTACAGTTTCCAAGCGTTTGCAGAAGCTCAACACTCTAATGTCCCACTAGATCTCATCGTCAGCTACATTTCCTGACCCCATCGATAGGTTCTGATAAGCGGTTCTCAAGATTTCGAGCAATTTAGAGCAGCAGCTCAGGGTGCACTACTATTCAGCCCAACCCTTTAATTCCAGTTGCTAAATCAACTCATAAGGAATACCGTTGTCTCTCTAATAGTAGTAACCCTGCCGGCCGAGTTGATCACACTTTATTTTTACCCAGTTTCCTAAGCTTTCACAAAAGCTCAACACTCTAATGTCCCACTAGATCTCATCATCCAGCTACATTTCCCGACCCCACATCGATAGGTTCAATAAGCACGGTTCTCAATATTTCGACAAATTTAGAGGCGACGCTCAGGGTGCACTTCTATTGGAGAATACGATAATATCCCAAAATTTACATTGATTTCCGGCATCTTGTGTAGAGTACACTTCGTACTTGTTCCGACGTGAACTCCAGCTCTTGAATGTCCATCTCGTGAATGATTCTGTAAAAAAGAAAATATTCTTTCAAATTCATCATCTTTATTTATCTTTTATTTGAATATTTGAATAAAACGAGTTTCTTTTTTTTTTTTTTTTTATGATTTTCAGTATTTTTATACAAATGAATTCCTCTTTTTTCGTTTATCTTTATCTCCAGATTTTCAGTTTTCTCAAATTTTTTTCCCAAAACGTTTCACAAAATCCCCCACCGCTCGTTTTTCCCGAAAAGCCCAGTAAACAAAGAAATCTATAAAAAAACCCTATAATCATGTATTTCTTTTATTGACATGTCTTGTTCGCACGACGAAAAGAAAAGAAAAAGGAAAAAGCGATTTATGACCCTTCCTTTTTTCCCCCTCAATTTAGCTGGTCTGAGGAAAAATAAAGGAAATAAAGAGAATCGACATTATGAATAGCTTATTCCTTTGGAGTCCTTTTATTTTTCTTGACTGATAAAGCATTTGTTGACTTATTGACGTAGGGTTACGGTGAGGGAAAGGGGGGACTTTTGAATGTGGTCTGACTTAGGTATTCAGACTTCTGACTTAATTTAGACGTTAATTACTCCTTCTCACAGCTCACACAGATAGTGGGTAATCAGTGATTAAATCGAAATAAATCTGGTCTATATTCACCATTTTCTGCCTCTGTATTCAATTTTCAGTTAAAGTTTACGTTTTACTTTTCAAAAGGAAATTCCTTTTCAGGTTCCGTTCAAAAAGAAATTCATCCAATTTCAATGTGCCCCCCTTCTTTCTCCATTCCTACATCAATTTCCTCAAACTACAAATGATCGTGAAATGATCGTCAAATGAATTTATCCTACGAAAAACAAGAAAAAAAGGATTAGTCTTTACTTAAACTTTACTAAACTTTACTTAAACTTTATTAAGCTTTACTTTTCAGCTTTACTTGGCTTTACTTAAACTTTACAAACTTTACTTAAACTTTACTTAAACTTTACTTAAGCTTTACTTAAACTTTATAGACTTTTACTTAAACTTTACTTAAACTTTATCAAACTTTTTTGAAACTTTAACTTTAAAACTTACTTAAACTTTACTTTACAAGCTTTTGTAGAACCTTTGTAAACTTTACTTAAACTTTAGCGAAACTTTACAAACTTTATAGGCTTTGTGACTTTACATAAACTTTATTTAAGCACTTTGCTTCTCACTATAAACTTTACTTAAACTTTGTAAGCTTTATGGCTTTGTAAACTTTACTTAAGCTTTTTAAGACTTTGTAAGCTTTAAACTTTAAGGCTTTAAAGCTTTGCTTTATAGGCTTTACTTAAACTTTACTTAAACTTTACTTAACTTTACTTAAACTTTCTTAAGCTTTACTTAAGCTTTACAGCTTTACTTAAGCTTACTTAAGCTTTACTTAAAAGTCTTAAAAGTCTTAAAAGTCTTAACAAACGAAACTGAAAAGGAATTTCCTTTAAAAAATGCCGTGAGCCTTTTTGAGTGAAAGGAAAAAGAGACGGTGATGAATGTTCTTCTTCTTTCAATTCTCATTTTGAACACAAACATTTCTTTCTTTTACTTGAAAAGACTCAGGAAAACAACAATTACTGGAAAGTTGATAAGTTTTTATTTAATAAACTTTCATTTCTGACACAAGAAGCCTTCAATAAGGCCGCTCAATGGCCTCCAATGGCCGCTCAATGAAATCTCAAAATGTTCCTTGAAATTTTGATAAATCAAAGAAGTTTACTTTGCGAAAATCTCCTCGAGACTCGTTTCTTGAAGATCCAAAAAGAAGTACAGCTTTGTTCAGCAAATGATCAATATCCATGGTTGCTCGAATCTCGAACCACAAATCTTTCATCGGGATTTTCTCGTGTTTTGCGTACATCAGCGTCACATTGTCGTATTCGTCTGAAAATTTTCCGTTTATAATTTATAATTTATTCAATTATTCAAATAGTTTTGGCTTTTAAATAGACTTCTTTTATCATTCTTGTTGTTTTTTATTTATTTTTATTTAAGAATTGATGAAACAGTTTAAAAAACGCAAAAACGTATCTATTTTTGTGTATTTGTGTGTATCTTTATCGTATTTTCTTGCTTTTAACGTTTACTTCTATTAATAGAAGTCGATTAACGTTTACTTTAATTAATAGAAGTCTATTAAGGTTTACTTTAATTAATAGAAGTCTATTAACGTTTACTTTAATCAATAGAAGTCTATTAACGTTTACTTCTATTAATAGAAGTCTATTAACGTTTACTTTAATTAATAGAAGTCTATTAACGTTTACTTCTATTAAAGTTTACTTCTATTAACATTTACTTCTATTAACGTTTACTTCTATTAACGTTTACTTCTATTAACGTTTACTTCTATTAACGTTTACTTCTATTAACGTTTACTTCTATTAACGTTTACTTCTATTAAAGTTTACTTCTATTAACATTTACTTCTATTAATGTTTACTTCTATTTACTTCTATTTACTTCTATTTACTTCGTTTAACATTTACTTCTATTAACATTTACTTCTATTAACATTTACTTCTATTAACGTTTACTTCTATTAACGTTTACTTCTATTAACGTTTACTTCTATTAACATTTACTTCTATTAATGTTTACTTCTATTTACTTCTATTTACTTCTATTTACTTCGTTTAACATTTACTTCTATTAACATTTACTTCTATTAACGTTTACCTCTATTAACGTTTACTTCTATTAATGTTTACTTCTATTAACGTTTACTTCTATTTACTTCTATTTACTTCGTTTAACGTTTACTTCTATTACTCTCTTAGATGAGAAAAATGAATCGAAAGTATCAAGAACATGCACTTGACACCTTTAATAAAACAAAAAAAAAACCAGCATGCTATGATGTGATTGTTTTGAAATTTTGAAATAAACACATCTAAAACCATTTTCTTTGAATAGTCAAAAGGACATTTGTTAAAGCACAAAGCACAACTGGGATACGAACAGATTTCACTTGCAAGTGTTAGCTCTTAACACAAACACGACAGCTTTTTATAAAAGCTAACAAAGCGATTAAAGCTTTCAAGTTTGTCTGGATATATTTGTTATTAAAGCTTTCAAGTTTGTCTAGATATATTTGTTCTTAAAGCTTTCAAGTTTGTCTGGATATATTCGTTATTAAGGCTTTTTAAGCTTCCCTGGACATATTCGCTATTAAACCTTTTAAGTTTACCTTTTTTTATTCTATTCTTCTAGTCCTTCCAGTCACCTTTTTTATTGGACTTTTGTTTCAAATTGAATTTCGAAAGAAAAGAAGCAAAAACAGATTGAAAAAGAAGGGAAATTTCTGTGAAAATTTGCTGATTTTTCATTCTCAATTCGCACTCACTTTGTCCCTTTTTTGAAGAGAGATCCCAAATGGCTAAGAAAGGAAGAAAAAATGGGAAACTCTGGAAGAAAATGAAAAGAGAAGCCCCGGAAACCTTTTTTTTTCTGAGAGAAAATGAAGGGAATGGGTAAAGGGAATGGGCACACTAACAACTGAAATGGGATCTCCCCCCACTTTCAATAGAAGGGGAAAGGATGGGGACGAGTTTTCACCCTCAAACTCCATTCAGGAAGTTTCGAATCGATAACATTATGATAATGTTAGATAAATGGACAATATTTACGTTTATAAAGAGCTTTTATAAAAAGTTGAAGCCTTTGGATTGATCTTGTCAGTCAAGAGAAGTTCTAGACTCTCAGTCAAGTCAAGAGTCAAGACAAGTTCTAGACTCTGAGTCAAGTCAAGAGAGTCAGTCAAGAGAAGTTCTAGACTTGAAAGCCTTTGAACTTAAAAGCTTGCTAGCTAGACATTGAGCTGCTAGACTTGTTTGAATGCTCAATTTAGCTATCTAAATCGTTTGTCCTAAAAACGAACACCTTTTCCAAGTTTTGTTCTAAAAGGAAAGAAAAATGAATATTCAAATTTGACGGGAATTCAATTTTTGTCTCTTTCTCTCGTTTAGAGCACTCGCTATTTCTTTTTAAGGGATTTTCTGCAAAATTTTCAACTTGAAACTTGCTCTTAGCTTGAAAATTCTTTAAAAAAAAAAGAGTTTTCTAAAAATTGTTTGTTTTTGATTAGCTTTGACTGACTCAGCTTTGACTTAGCTTTGACTCCAGCCTTGACTCAGCTTTGTCTCAGCTTTGACTCAGCTTTGAATCAGCTTTAACTCAGCTTTGACTTAACTTTGAATCAGCTTTGTCTCAGCTTTGACTCAGCTTTGTCTCAGCTTTGACTCAGCTTTGAATCAGCTTTGTCTCAGCTTTGTCTCAGCTTTGTCTCAGCTTTGTCTCAGCTTTGTCTCTGCTTTGACTCAGCTTTGACTCAGCTTTGACTCAGCTTTGTCTCAGCTTTGACTCAGCTTTGTCTCAGCTTTGACTATAATCAACTCTTCGTTATTTTGCAGAATTCAAAAAAGTGAGCACTCACCCTGCAGAAGAGTCATCTATCATCGAAGGAAAAGAAGTAAAAAGAGGAAAAGTGACACTTTGAAATAGATTAAAAATAAAGAAATAAATCGAGTATTCACTATCGTTTATTTAGAAGATTTAGAAGATTTAGAAGATTTGTTTCGAAAAAGGAAACGTTTTTTGAAGTTCACTTTCATGGAATGAGTAAAAAAGGACTCAAATATCTCACCTTAACATTCATTTCTCACACGAAATTGCCTATGGATAATGAGAAAGACGGGCATCCACTTATCATCTTTTTGATGAATAAAAAAAAGAAAAAAAAAGAAATCGAATTAGAGCCCGGAAAAGTTTGAATACAAAAAAAACTTACCAGCAAAATTCCATGATAAAGTATCCAATGGTGGAGTATCAGATTCCATATCCACTTCATCGTTTAATTGAGCAACAGATCCATATTGACTACCAGATCGAGAATCATAACGATTTGTTACGGGTGAACCTTGTCCACTTGATCTTCTTGTTGTTTTCCCTTTTATTGTCAACAATGGTTCGACTTGATCTTGTAGACTTTTCATCGATAACCATGAAACTCTTTTATTTAACATTTTAATCTTATTCTCAGCCATTGTTTCTTCTTGAGAATCACCACGGAATACGTGTTTACACTGTGAAAAAGTCGAGACAGTGTCAGATTGTGGAGTGGATTCGGAGCAAAGATTGAACTCGACTTGTCGCGAGGTTCTCCGTGGACCGATTTGACTGGTGCCTGGAGATCCGTGGCCACTCGCGGGTTTCGATGTGGAGACTTTCGATGCAGGGCCAACCAGAGTGGGTGCAGTGGGCCCAACTTGAAGAGTCGGCTGTGAGGAGCGTCTCTCGAAGGCTCTCATCGGACGGAAACCGATCGCCGGGGCCCCGTTTGCACGGATTTCCTTCGACTCCCCACTGGACTCATTTGCAGACTCTTTTCGGCATCTAGAGAATTTGATGGTAAAAGCTCTTCAGCTTCTGACACCTCAGCGGGACAACTTGAGACTGAAGCGCCTGATGTGGTAGAAACTCGGCGACTCCCGTCCGGTACATAAAGTAATGTGTGCGAGATTCGGCGATTAAGAGTTCTCAGTTTTGGATCCGGTTTCTTCACATAGTGATTCGTTTCTCCATTTGGAGTGTTTCCGGATAGGGATCGGGAATGGATTTGTGATGTGCTTGGATGAGATTCTTGAGCAGTGATCGAATCTGTAGCCGTGACCACCACTCGAACCTGTCCCTCCATCGAATAAAGGAATTGATGGAAGGGAATGGCCTTCAGGTGGATCTCAATTTAGCCCACATTTATGAGAGTCGATAGGCGAATGGAGAAAGAGAAAAATGGAGAGGAAGGAGAAGAGTTCTCTTCGATCGACAAGAGTTGGCAGGAGGGATAGGGCCTTCATGGCCCCTCCATTCAGAGGTCCCTTTCCCATCTCTAGGACCCGCCCCATCTCCTCCTCTCTCTCTTCTATTAGGAAAGAAGAAGAAGAAGAAGAAGAAGAAGAAGAAGAAGAAGAAGAAGAGGAAGAAGAAGAAGAAGACTAAAAGACTTTTTATTTTTTTTTTTGCCTTAAATCCACATCGAATCTTTTCTCTTTTGTGGATTTTAAGGGAGTCAATCCTTTCAGAATCGGGGCACATCTTTATGGGGGTATCCAAGGATTTAAGGGGAATAAGAAGAGCAGATAGATCCCTCTCAGCCTCTTCCCTAATTGAATAAGCAATGCCTTTGGAAAGGTTTTAAAAGATATTCAACCTCAAAAAAGGCATCGGGAGTCAAAAAAAAAAACACTAAAAAGTTTGATCTTGATACAACTTTTCTGTTGAAAGTCAACAGAAACACTTTTTACACTAATTTCTATAAGAAAAGTCTCTTTGCTATAAGAAAAGTCTCTTTTTGTACTCTTTTTCTATAAGAAAAGTCTTTTTGTACTCTTTTTTCTATAAGAAAAGTCTTTTTGCAGTCTTTTTCTATAAGAAAAGTCTTTTTGCAGTCTTTTTCTATAAGAAAAGTCTCTTTTTATACTCTTTTTCTATACGAAAAGTCTTTTTGTACTCTTTTTTCTATAAGAAAAGTCAATTGATCACATCATATATGAATGAGTGAATAAAAAGAAAAAAAAAAGAACGAAAGAGTTATGACAAATAATACATCTCAAAATAGCTTCCCCTTCTCATTCTATTATGTCATTTCCTCGGATCATCTTTAAATGTAATCAAAAATTAAAACACTTAGTTGAAAGTTGATTTTTTGAGATTAGATTTCCTTGGATCGTCTCTAAATGTCATCAAAAATTAAAGCGCTTAGATGAAAGTTGAAGTTTCGGTTTTTAATTCGTAATTTCTAAACTTTTCTCTCGATTAACTACCGTAAAATTGTCTTTTTTTGTTGAATCTATGGGAGCGGGACAAATGCGACCTTTCTTTGCGCACCTGGACATTTGCGCACCTTTTTTTTGCTGGAAAAGGCCTTAGAAAAAGTCGTAGAGCTTCGAAAATATTTCCATATAAGGGAATCGTATGCGTAGATTCCGAATTTCGACAAATCACACCTCGCTGACACGTCAAATTTGGGCTAAAATGCAAAAACTACGCAACTTAACGCTTTTCCCGCAGCTTTGCCAAATTTGACGTGTCAGCGAGGTGTGATTTGTCGAAATTCGGAATCTACGCATACGATACCCTTCTATGAAAACGTTTTTGAAGCTCTACGACCCGACCTTTCCTAAGGCCTTTTCCAGCAAAAAAAAGGTGCGCAAATGTCCGGGAAAAAAAAGGTCGCATTTGTCCCAATCCCGTGTTTTTTTTTTTAAATTCTCTGAGAATTCAAAAAAGAATTTAAAATATAAAAAGTAAATAGATTAGCTAAAAACTAGCCAAGATTACGGTATTTTCAAGTTTCCACGTTTTAGAAAAAACAAAACATTGATCATTAGACTGAGAGTAAACTTGAAAGTCGCACAAAACATCGCACAACAACAAGCAGCATTCATGCAATTCATGCAATTCATACAAAAAAACTTCAAAACAACACCAGTAAATAGATTAGCTAAAAACTAGCCAAGATTACGGGATTTTCTACAAGTTATCTACAAGAACAAATTCTCATTCGATAATGCATTCCATCTCACTCACCATTTTGATCGTCATCGAATTCGTGAATCGAATCATCATCCAAAACATAAACGTTACTCGGTCGTCTTTCGTCTCCATGCTGTACCGGCAATAGTCCTTGACTTTCCAATGAATGAATAGTTGCCGATGTGAATGAGGTATTCATTTCACTTGCACTTTTCGGTCTTCGAAAGTGTGCTTTCCTTGCCATCGGTGTCCCTGCACCACTAGCCACCGTTGCTTCGCTGCCATTCGAGTTGCTTGCTTCGGAATCGTGTCTTTGTCTTTTCCCGACACCATTCAATTTGGGCACTGGCTTCACAGTGAAAACCCTTGTCCGAATCGGATTCTTTTCCTTTTTCTCATCTCTTTCCAATGAGCTTTCGGATGCGGTTTCGGTGGCAGCAAAACTTGTCTCACTCGCGAATTTGCGCAATTTACGATCAATAATCGATTTCCGCAATTTCTCGTTGTTCAACTGGACCACTTGGTGGATCGGGTAAAGGAACGATTGGAACAGATGATCGTTCGGCTGAAGACATCAGAGGGAGTTGATCGGCTGAATGCGATGAAGGAAATGAAGGAAATGAAGGAAATGATCGACAAATCGATTCAACGGATTATCGACACATCTGCAAGATATTCGAATGAGCACAAAAAAAAATAAATCAAATAACGAAAAATTTAAAGAGAGAAGAGTCTAATGGAATGGTTTTGAAATTTGAGAAGAAGTTTTCAGGGAAGGAGGTGTTTGATGGATTTGAATGTGAAAAAGAAAGAAATGAGAGGAAAAGTTGAAGAGGAAGAAGAAGAAGAGGAAGAGGAAGAAGAAGAAGAGGGAAGAAGAAGAAGAAGAAGAAGAAGAGGAAGAAGAAGAAGAAGAAGAAGAAGAGGAAGAGGAAGAAGAAGAAGAAGAAGAGGAAGAGGAAGAAGAAGAAGAAGAAGAAGGAGGAGGAGTGCGTGGGTGTGAATTAAAATACATCTATTCACATGAATACACAATAAAAAAGCAAAATCCTAAGCCTTAAAGAAGAAAGAGAAGAAAAAAAAATGGTCAAAAATCAACTAGGCGGGATTGAACCCTTCGACCTCTCGATACACAGGCTCAACTGAGAAACAGGTCTTTTAGCCATAGTGACAGTGAATCGGCCATAGTGACAATAGTGGCCATAATGGCCATAGTGATAATAAAGCTGTAAAAAAATGGGGAACAAATGTTGGGGAAAGTTTTGAAATAAAAATTAGAAGAGCTTACCGTAAATACTGTAATAGTACCGTACCCCCATAATGACGGTGCGGAGTGTTGCGTAGTCTAGCTTTGAACGAGTTTTTCTCGACACTGGTTTATGCTACAATGCGCGCTTTGGTATCAAAAAATAGCTGAAATTCAGGGCTATTTTTTGATATCAAAGACGCATTTTTTGAAAGTACGGGTGCTTTGCAAAAAATGAAATACTAAAAAACTTTTGCGACTACGCGACTGTACGAGGGCGGTGGGGGTACTATTACAGTATTTACGGTAAGTATTATAATTTGAGTGATCTCAACTCAAGTTTAGCTGTATGAAATGGGTTTTTTTTTGTTTTCTTGAGTAGATTCGCCTTCTTCTCAACCCAGGCAGACATTAAACATACCGAGCAATGAACGAAAGAAAAATCGAGAAATGAAAGGTCTCCAAAAGCACATGTTCTAGCACAAATATTTGGTAATATTTGTTTGAAACTTTATAAAAACTATATAGATTATTGCGATCAAATATTTTTTTTTTATTTAAAGGATAAAAGAGGAAACTCAAAACTCAACTTTAACAAAAACTGTACATTTAAAGATGTATTAAAGAAGGAAAAGGGTTTCCTTTTAAACGGTTTTCTTTTAAACGGTTTCCATTTAAACTCTTTCCTTGTTTCTCTATAGGCAGAAATGGAGGCTTTTGGTGACTTTTTGGGGAAATATACACTACTGGACAATGAAATATGATATTTGAAAAACGATCGTCTCTTTCGCGCGTCTGTAACTCCCTTGTCTTTGCCGTATTTCTAAATCTTAATATTACCATTGTGTAGCCATTGAAAAGAGCTTTCAGAAAATGTATAACACTAATAGTTTTAAACTTAAAGACAAGGGAGTTACAGACACGCGAAAGTGACGATCGTTTTTTCAAATATCATATTTCATTGTCCAGTACTGTATCCACCGTCGCCAAATGGTAAGCGCAATCGAGTTTATCACATGCTTTTTGAGAGAGAGATTTCTTGATCGGATCACTCCTGGAATCCGGTTTTAAGCACGTTTTTCTTTTGCTTCACAAACATTTCAAACACTCAAATCCATCGGATTGAGTTCGGGGAAAAGTGCTAAAATCATTTGAGCCTTGTCACCAATCGTTTTGCATAAGCATCGTTTTGCATAAAACACCAAATCATGTTGCAAAAGTGATTTTCAGCTTACGGAAGAGGAAGATCTTTCTTAAGTGAATCGTATTTATTCTAATAGAAGGCTAAGGTCTTCTATTTTTCAATCTCCTCAAAATTGGCGGACCGAAAAAATAGGTAACGGTGCCCCATATGAAAGGAAATTGTTTTGAATTGTTTAAAACTAAAACTTTAAAACTTTCCTCTAATAGTAGTGCACCCTGCCGGCCGAGTTGATGACTATTTTACGGTTTCCAAGCGTTTGCAGAAGCTCAACACTCTAATATCCCACTAGATCTCATCGTCAGCTACATTTTCCGATCCCACATCGATAGGTTTTGATAAGCGGTTCTCGAGATTTCGAGCAATTTAGGCAACGCTCACGGTGCACTACTATTAGAGAAAATTCGGTAGATCACGGTAGAAGGTGAACAAGTTTTAGGAAACTCAATTACTGAAGGAGTACTGTAGTGTACTGTAGTCTAGTTATTGGTTAAAATTAAGTAAGCTATCGATTATCTTATTCTCTCTCTGATCTCACACCCCGGCGAGCCGAGTTGATGACTATTTTACGGTTTCTAAGTTTTCGTATTTCCTGAGTTATTGTTTTAAAAAATATTTCGATTCACAAACGATGAAAACCCTTTAATTCCGTTTTTTCCCCATCATTCTGCTGAGTGAATAAATCGAGGAATCCCCAAAACACAGATCTTTTTCTATTCTTTTTCTTTTTCAACTCTTTTTCAACTCTTTTTTTAACTCTTTTTTAACTCTTTTTTAACTCCAATCTCTTCTCCACATCTATATTGAAAGAGATTTCACTGAAGCATTCTCTGATTCAATTCACCTCCAAATGTTTCTTTTTCTTTTTAGTTTGTCAAAGAAAACCAGGAAGATTTCTTTTAGAAAGGTGGTGACCTCTTCACTTCACAAAAGACCCACTCTTCCCTTCTCTATTCGAGAGCTTTTGCATTTGGATTTAGGCCAAAATCTCGGGAATAATAAATAGATTCATTCATAGTTCACAGTTTTTTGTAATAGTACTATTTTATCACAAAAAATAGAGCGCCCTAAGCTAGCCTAAGCCTAAAAATAGAGCGCCCTAAGCTAGAATTCTAGAATTATTCACTTTTTCTTTGACTCAAAATCAATTCTTCTTAAATAGTTCTTTTTCTAAAATGTGTCAACTTTCGAAAGCTATCGTACTTTTAATTACCGTATTTCTTCGAATAGAAGATTGGGTAAAGAGGATCATCGCGTACTCCTGCGTAGCAGCCCTTTTTAAAATTTCTTTTCTGCATAAAAGCTTTCAATGAAGTGCTATAGGGCTGGGAAATGACTCAAAAATACGACATGAGCTAACAGATTTTTGAGCCATTTTTGAGCCATTTTCCAGCTCTATAGCACTTCATTGAAAGCTTTTATGCAGAAAAGAAATTTTAAAAAGGGCTGCTACGCAGCAGTACGCGATCATACTCTTTACCCGGTCTTCTATTCGAAGAAATACGGTATTTTTCTCTATTTAATTTGCACAAAGATTTGATCAAAAGGGCTAACGATAGAAAGAGAAAATCGGACACATTTTAGCAAAATGCAAAAGGGGAAATCAGCCTTAGAAAATGCATATTGTTAAGGTATTTGCAAAACAAATTGCTCATTTATAGCATTGATACATTACTATTACTATAGAACTGTTTGTGTAATAAAAAGTTTCACTCAAAACAAATCAAATCGTCTTTAAACGGAAATCAGACAAAAAAGAAAAAGAAAAACAGCCTCTATTCTTGATATTTTGATAACCAAAAAGAAAACTGTAATTAATAATTAATTCTAAATGCAAAAATTTCCATTAGAAAGGCCACAAATGTCCGGAAATATTGCTTTTTTTTTAATAATAAAAATTAAAGTTCAAATGAAAAATAGAGAAAAAATTTTTCAAATTTAAACCGCGGTCAGGGCCCAGAAGTGGCTTTTGCAAATTTTTTTTGAACTAAAAACTTTACAGCATCGTCGCTTTGTCATTGATTTAGTCGAAACTTTCAAAATCCTCCGTTGTAAACAGATTAGCCCTTTGTTTATAGACTTTTTCAAATTTAAACCGCGGTCAGGGCCCAGAAGTGGCTCATTCCTTTTGCAAATTCCCTTTGCTTCCAATGCCTCTTTATCAAATTCATTTCCCGTTAGAGCCGCTAGATTATGGAACTTGCTCCCAAACGACATACGAGAAATTCAGTCGCTTTTCATATTCAAGAAACGTATCGATGCTTTAGATCTAGTGGCTCTTTGCCGTAAGTAATTGGCTTATTGATTTCAGTATGTATTGTATGATTAAGTATCACTGTGCATTTCTCTATGATTTCTTTCACTTTATCGTCTGAATAAAGTATTATTATTATTAAAAACAGCCTCTATTCTTGATATTTTGATAACCAAAAAGAAAACTGTAATTAATAATTAATTCTAAATGCAAAAATTTCCGTTAGAAAGGCCACAAATTTCCGGAAATATTGCTTTTTTTTAATAATAAAAATTAAAGTTCAAATGAAAAATAGAGAAAAAAATTTGTTGGAAACTTTTTGAAAAAAAAATTCAAAGTGATTTTGGGAGTGGGACAAATGCGACCTTTTTTTTGCGCACCCGGACATTTGCGCACCTTTTTTTCCGCACTTTGGCCATTAACGCACCTTTTAAAAAGCTCGCGTTTTAAAAAAGCTCTAAAAGCTAATATTAACCAATTTCTATTCCAAAAGTTGTTTTTCTAGGTAATTTTAGGGCGTAGAATCGAAATTTTGACATATCAGAGCTTGTGGAAACGAACGGACAGAGTTATACAAAGTATTGGGCGCGAGAAGTCGGTAGTCAAGAAAAGACGACAACCCGAAGACTCGATTTAGACACTTTGGCCCACAGAAACCCATATTTATGTCAATAGAAAAAGGATAGCGCATAAAAAGTTAAGCAAATTTTCAGAATAATCCGATTTCTTTGTTGAGTTTTTATTGAATTTTATGAAAAACAAGTTTTGACACTCGATTTTGCTTTGGAATTGACTCAAATTGACTTAAAAAGATAGAGAAGTTAACAGTAAACATTTTCTATTTCAATCAAACTATAGGTTAATCGGTGAGCCA